GTGTTGTTTGTGTCGCTTCTACTTCAGACGTTCGTGCAGACATCTCGTAGCTATTACTGGTGTAGACAAAAAGTACGAGTTTGGATAGCCTCCAAAGGCATTGTGGCCATATCAGATTCCATCAGAATCCGTCCAGCGATACTGGAATCAAAACACGCGAACAGAGACACGACCGGCCCTATATGCGTTCTGTATGCATTTATTTCATGGACATCGTTCAGACAACTCATAAAAATAAAATGTATCTTGAACAGAATAACCCAGCAAAAATTTATGTTTGCCGTAAGTTTTATTTTTCCTTTGCGAAATGGTTGCAAGTGCTCTGACGCTTGTGGTGTGACCATGCTAGAATAGGAACAGCGCATTTGTATGCTGTGCAGAACATTGCATGCTGTGTTACGTAAGGTGAACAGAAAGGAAGCGTAGCGCTGCAGGAAGGTTACCGTGCACCTTTTGAGTTGAACGTGGTAAACACTTGGAGCTGGTGTATTTTGTTACTTAATTTGCGGAAGTTCTTGCTTTTATGAGGACCAGAGGCGCGTTGGGAGTGAAGAAACTTGCTGCTGCAAACTCTCGTTCCTGAGGGTTAACTTAGGTATTTCATTTTCTGTGTAGCTCATTAATAATGTATCGTTTGTAGTAACTAACAAGGACTTAGTTTCATTATTATTATTTTTTATTATTCATAGTGGTGTGAGACGCAGTCCACTTGGTACTGCGGCCACTATTGGTGTATTGTACCAGCACCAGATGATAGATGAGGGTGATTGTGGAGAAATTCGTGGAATGAAGATTGGTAGGGGAAACCGAAGTACTCGGAGAAATCCTGCCCCACTGCCACTTTGTCCACCAGAAATCCCATATGACCTTACCCGGGCTCGAACACGGGCCTCCCCGGTGGGAAGCCAGCACCTAACCACCTGAACTATGGCACGGCCAAATAACAGGGACTTAAACAAAGCAGGGTGGAGTAGCGGTAGCCGTCTAGACCTGTATTCAGGAGGTGCTACGTTCGAATCGTTGCCGGGGCCGTGGCTATTCTGATGGAGGTTTTTCGTGGCTTTCATCAGACCCTCCAGTGTAATTCCGGGTTAACACTCGATTATGCTACGACCGCTTCTTTCCAGTTTATTGTTTACCGACATCCTGCCATTCAAACGCTATATAGTCTAGATCAGCGGTTCCTGTCCTCTGGGAGCGCAGTGGCGTTACCTAGCGGGAACGGTGGAGGTGGGCCCCTCCGACCGCGCTCTTCTCTTCTTTGATTTAGGCTGGGGCCACACGAGGGTACAAAATGCGTCCGTTGTAACGAACGTCGTGACGTCCGTTGTAGAAATAAACAAGAGAGGCGAATGCTACGCTTTCTTTTGGCTCCATTGCAGACAAAAAACTACGCACCGCATTCTGCAACTGTGTGGAGTCCTCAGCAAGTCCATCGTATAGTACGTTCGTTACAACGGACGCATGTTGTGCGCTCGTGTGGAACCAGCCTGAAGTGACTTTCGACCAGACATTAGGAAGCTGGCAGATTCTGAAGGGTTCTGACGGTGGCGTATACTACTCAGAATTACTGGAGTTCTGGACTTTGTCCGTCCTCAGGTGAGGGGGAGTACACCTACTCTATTGGGTCCCTTAGAAAGAGCTAACCTCTTGAAAATCTAGTAATTCTGATTATTGGGAAGTTGGTACCACGTCATCAAGCATTAAAATTTATTAACAGTGAAGTAGTTACTAATGTGGTATCTGATTCTATTATGATCATCTTCCTTAGTGGCTTGTGCAAACCCCTGTTCGGAAGAATGCTTTTTATAGGGTAGGGCAGGGCAGTGGGCACTGGGGGGTGAGTTTATGGAACCAAGGGGGCGGTGGTCTAGATACTGACAACTTTAATGAAATCATAAAAGCAAGGACTTCGGGCAGGACTCTTTAAAGACTCCTCTCTGTTAACAGACTTTATTTAGTCCTAACAAATCTCGTGTTTTTGTTATGTCGTATTTAGGTAATGCAAATGTATGTTGTAACAGTAAAACTCAGTTCAGATGATACGTTAGCGTGCTGATCCTCGCTCACAGATGTCATGTAGTCGAGTACCAGTGGAGTCGGATTTTATTGCTCGCAATTGCAAACATATGGATTATTATTAGTTTTTCCTTTAAATTAGGATTTGTCTGCATTAAATTTATCGGACACTTCCTCAGAATTTCTCGCCGTCTTCACGTTTTTAGTTTTGGACTCACAAGGTGTAAAGCTTTATAGGATTAGTGTGTGATGATACAGACTGGATTCAACTGGCTCAGAATAATTTACAGTTGCAGGCTGTTGTGAGCACGGTATTGAACTTTCAGGGATGTATTGACCGGCTAGACGACTCTCAGTTTCTGAAGGATTTTGTTCTCTGACTCGGTCGTCTGTGTTCCTTTGGACATATTAACTACGTAGAATCACTGACTGCGAATTTTATTCCTGACGAGGATGTTGGGGATTTTGTTCCCCTGCACAACGTCATAGTTAGTTAGTTATTAGAGAGGGTGGGTTTCCCCATGCACGTAGACCTGTAGTGGTCTATTGTGCTTCCCTCTATGATTTCTACCAGCCTCTATATCCTACCGGTATTGGTGCTTACCATCAGTCCCGCCCAGCCAGCGAGACCGGCTCTACTGGCTGAGAAGTATCTATAATGCTTCCCCCATCTACCGGAGGTATTAGAGACTGCTGTTGGGCGGCAAACGTCCGCAATTTTGCTTAGTGACCTCCTTTGGAGATATGAGGTTCTTTTACGTGCCGTAAAGCTACGACACGGGACCCACGGCTTAAAGTCCCTCCCGGAGGACTTGTTACCTGAATTTTTCCGCCCTTAAAAATTCTACGACCTCCGCCGGGTATTTGAACCCGCGTACTACGAGTCATGAGGTGGGAACGTTACCCCTAGACTACGGAGGCCGCTTGCACAACGTCATAAGTGATTATTAGACACAGCCATAACTTTACCAGTCGTTTCAAACCTGCTTTTAGTAAAAACGATTATTTTTTACTGTTCTATGTTTTAAGAAAGAAGGTGGCTGGTTGTTGGCGCAGTGGCAAGCAATCCAAAGCTAAGCATTTAGTCACCCAGTCTTCGTTATTGCCTGTTGCTGTACTCCTTCTGTTGCATTTTTTACAACTTAATATATTTGAAGGGGGAATAAAGTTTATCTTGTGGTTCTGTGGCGTTAGTGAAGTTACATCGTTAAATGAACGGAAGAGTAAGAACCCCTAACGTCAGATTTTGAACAGACGATCTTTCACTCGGTGTTCGATTATTTCTGGCAAGAGAAGAATGGTGATGTGCGGTGTCGCCAAGTCGAAGGGATTACTGTTGATTGTGTAGACAGTTAAATTCAAGCGTAACATCTGGTATTGCCGCCTTATAGCGTCGCGGCATTTCGTCGGTCACCCGCGGCTTTGTTTAAATGCAACAATAGTTCTTGGCGTAATTAGTTCAACTGGCCCGTAAGTTCCACCTTGAATAGAATTTGCACTAAAATGGAATGGGCTCTTGCAGTCATTGACTTCCTTGTTTTCTGATTTGGACACAGACGAATACATTTCCCTAACAGATGTTATTCACGTCCACATGGGCAGCAGTGTTCTTATTACCTCACAAGACACAATCCTCTAATACGTTTTTACACTGAACTAAATAGAATTATTACAGAATTAAAGTATTGATATCGGACCTAACAGTTTTACTCGTCATTGTACTTTTTAAATAGTTTAACTGTTTCCGTGCCGTGGACATAATTTCTAAGCTAGATTAGATTAAGATAGTTAGATTACGTTAGATAGTCAGGTTACGTTGAGCTGGATTAGGTAAAATAGATTAGATATACATGCTAGAACACTTCTGTATTCAGAACTGTTTCTCTTTCTTTCTCTCTCTGTGGCTTTACAGCCCTTTGGACCTGGCCGATTTTTCAGTTTCTTAATCCTATGCAAAGTCAGTAGGACTCCTTGGACGGTGATCAGTCCGTCGCAAGGCCGCTACCTACGCACAGAATAAACGCATATAGACATCCCATGTCTTGAGTGGGATTCGGACCCACGACCCCAGCATTCGAGCGGGCGAAGATAGTTCATGCCGCTGTGATCGGCATATTGTGAGCTAGCCAATAGAAACTGGGCGTGGAAAGGAATAAATTATGTTTCTGATTCTCAAACTTGTGGGCTAATGAACGGAACAAGTAACACATGAAATATTAGACAGAGGGTGCCTCAAAACATGTTCATCATCTAAAACGCAATTTTAGTAGTATGTTTATTTTTGTGGTGCACGCGGTAGAATAGTTGGTTGAGACACTGTGCTACAAGCCGGAAGGTCGCGGTTTGATTGCCGACGAGGTCATTGGACTTTTCAATTGACCTAATCCTTCCAGTCGCACTGTGACCCTGTGGTTGACTCAGCCTCTAACAGAAATGAATACCAGGAATCTTTCTGGGGTTAAAGGGCGGCCGTCGCGTAAGGCTGACAACCTTACGGCCATCCATGAGCCGATTGTCTAGAAAGTGTGTTAGCCTCGACGTCTCAGAATCCTCTGGGCCTCCACGGCCTGTCACAGGGATAGCTTTATCTTGTATCTTCTTTAACGTTTATTTTTGTCCACATTTTGTAGAAGAAACGTCAGTAGTGAAATTATTTAGTTTGTAACTTTACATTTTCCACGGAATGTTTCTAATGAAAGTTGTATGTCAGGGACAGAAGAACTATCAGGAATTGACATGCTTTTCGTATTATTAAATTCCTATCATTCACCGTTAGATGTTTCGCATGAAACTTGTCTTCAGAATCTTGCATCAGGGACATAGGAATGCCAGTATGTACTTATTAAGTATAGTAAGTATGTATCATTGTAATTAAGTTATTTTGGAATGTGGCACAAAATGTGCTACAATGTAGCAACAAATCCTGTATTGTGTGTGTAGAGTGTGTGTGTGTATATATATATATATTTCTAACTTTTCAGATAATGACCCACAAGTGAAGAATTATGGATTGAAGTGTTGTATGGAGAAAAGCAGTGATGAGCCAGAATCTGCAGAACACAGCTTTGACACAGGTAGAACTTCCTGTATTCATGATGTGTCTTCAGGTTTTTATTTTATCAGCTCAGAAAAAATTATTTTTTCTTACAGTTTCTACCAGTAATAGCTGGACTAATTTGAACGATTCAGATGTTATGTTATTGATTTATAATTTAAAAGATCTGTTACTTCTTCTTTCATTGAGACTTCACTACTGTGGGAAGAAATATGCTTGTGACTTGAGCATTTAATAATCTTTAATAAAATCCCTGGTATCATACTGATTCAAAAGCATATTATATACCCTGTTCTGACTTGCCTAAAATAAACATCTTGACTTGGTGTGCCTAAGTAAAGTATTTTTTGAGCTTTTTTTAATTCGCTAAGTGGAGGATGGAGTCCAGCTGGGTCCACTCAGCTCATCGCCTACTGATTGGCCTATTGTACCTGCCCCGGTGATAATGATGATGGAGAATTTGGTGGAATGAAGATTGGCAGGGGAAACCTAAGTACTTAGAAAACCTGCCCCAGCGCCATTTTGTCCACCACAAATCCCACTTAACCAGACCTGGGCCATTGCAGTGGGAAGCCAGCAACTAACCGTTTGAACTATGGCGTGGCCTATTTTTTGGGATTATTTGACTTCTTCTGTGATTAATGATTTGACACTCATATAGCAGATAATTAGGATTACAGTATAGTGTTGAATGAGGTGTAGTTCTGTGACTGTCAGATATAAAGCAGGGAGATGTGAAAGGATACCATTTCAATTCATGTAAGATATTATTGTGCCATTTGCCTGGAGAATCTGATGTAAATGACAAAAGGTATCAATCAGTATGGCCAGTTTCCAGTCTGTATTTCATCTGGTTACCTCCAGAAACTAGTCAGTGACACTGTCAACATTCACGATAACTTGAACAGTACATTATATTTGAAGCCAACTGTATGTTCCATTCCTTCTTCTTTGACTGGCACACTCAATTTAAATAATGTATTCATTGTCACTTGTAATTATTACTGTATTTTATTCTGCAACCTTTCAGTACAGGCACTGTTTTATATGAAGGATATAGATCTAACATGTGAATGACGTTCCCAACCCATAATTGTTGAAGATACGTCTAAAATGTTGGCACAGTTCACTTATCAACAGGGCACAACCAGTAGAATGATATTGAATCCAATTTGATAGACTGGTTGGATATACGCTTTTTTATTGCCATTTTCAGCGGTACCAGCCGGTTTCCATTGTGGGTCCCTTTCAGGACCCTGGAAGCTGCTGGTTCCTCCCTTCAAAACATTCAGGTGCAACACCTGCAATCATGGACAACAAGCTTTCACCCACCTTTGCTCAGAAGAAGGCAGAGGTGAAGCTCAATGCTATGCCGTAAGTCTGAGTTTTAACATTTTCATCAGAAAACTTCTGTTTGTTTATTCAGGTCATGCACATTGTAATTGCTCACCTCTAAGGCAGAGGTGAAGCTTAATGCAATGCCGTAAGTCTGCGTCTTAACATTTTCTTCAGAAAACTTCTGTTTGATTATTCAGCTCGCACACATTGTAATTGCTTCAAGTGTGATTTAGAAGAACTTATTTTCTAGAAAACTGACCATATTAATAAAATATATTTAATTACACTGCTAAGTACTGACCTGTGTGTTCTGATTACAAAGAATAGTGACATCTAAAAACCGATAAGCAGTTCTTCAGCAATAAAATTAATTCTATGAATGTCAATTTTTATTCATATTGACACCTTGTGCCAGATTTTGAATCTTGTGTGGCTTCCATGATGAGAGGATGAAGTGTAGTTACTTGTTTGCAGTTGGTTTCATGGGAAAATATCTCGTGATCGTGCAGAGCAGCTCCTGTCACCGAAGGAGGATGGCTTGTTCCTGGTACGAGAGTCAACCAACTTCCCTGGTGACTACACATTGTGTGTTTGCTACCAGGGAAAAGTTGAACATTACAGGGTCAAATACAAAGACAACCAACTCACAATTGATGATGAGGAATTCTTTGAGAATCTGTCACAGCTTGTGGAGGTATAGAAATTAGTATTTGTTGTTAAAAGCTGTTTGAATATAAAGTATACAATTTGTGTGATTGAATAGTATGCTTGGACATTTATGGTTTAATTCCCATTGTTACAGAATATGTTCATGACAAAAACTAATATGTATAAGGAAAGAAGCAGTTCATGTGACAAGTTTGCAATGCACACATTTATCTGTTCAGGAGAAAAATGAGTGGGGTTAAAATATGGGACATTGTTTTTGGTTTTTTGTGTTGGCACATGGTGCTAACTTGCCAGTCAATTGCTAAACTGAGATTTTCTTCATTACCACACTCCGCTGGGCTAAGAACATTTCATACCATACATCTGGAAAGTTTCAAAATGTGGTGTTGGAGAAGGATGGAGAAGATCAGTTGGACCGATTATGTGAGAAATGAAGAAGTGTTAATTAGAGTCAGTGAGCAGAGGAATATCCTACACGAAATAAGAAAACGGAAAGCTAATTGGATTGGTCATGTTTTACGCAGAAACTGCCTTCTAAAAGAAGCTATCGAAGGAAAGATAGATGGGCGGATAGAAGTGACAAGAAGACGAGGAAGAAGACGTAAGAAGATGCTGGATGACCTTGGGGACAGAAGAGGATACTGTCATTTGAAGGAGAAAGCTCTAGATCGCATTAAGTGGAGGAGTTGTTTTGGAAGAGACTGTGGACCTGTCGTCTGACAGATTACTGATGATGATGAGTTATGGCTTGTGCAGTTGCCATGTTTTCAGAAAATTTGGCTCCAAAATAAAACAAGATTTTGTCACAATTTTCATTCCAAAATGCTCTCTCTGATTACTACAATACCAGTATTTTTAATTGTTGTGAGTAATTTTGATTACTTTCTTTTCTAGCATTATGAGCAAGATGCAGATGGTCTGTGTACACAGCTGACAAAAAGTTTGCCAAAGAAAGGGAAACAAGATTTCTGTGTGGATACCAAAGCTTTTGTAGAAGCTGGCTGGGTGATCCAGGAACATGAATTGGAGGTGTGTAATGTTATAAAATCCAAAGGTGTTTGAAGATTGGAGAGACCAGTTTTACATATAAATATAGAAAGCAGTATGTCGTTTTGAATTCTCCAAAATGGAAATGTAAAAGGAAGACAAATACTGTGGCCATGAAGTTTGCTTTTAATTTCTGATTCATTCTGTATTACTTTTAATTCGATTTCTTGACTACAAAGCCCAAACACTTTGACTGAAACATGAATCATCACATATCATGCACAGTATTGAGGTTTTGTATTAATATATGTTGCATAACATTTGTTAGAAAATAGCAGCATTTCTGCTTGCAGTAAGAGCTACCAGTAAACTCTACAGTGACAAGCTACATGCGAAGATATGTCTTGGAGGTTAATTTAAAAATGAAGTAATTATCTAATTTGTATTCCTGGTTCCAGTATTTTAATTTTTGCATTGATCATGGCATAGGTTTCAATCTCTTTTTTCCAGCTAAGGGAATCAATAGGAAAAGGTGAATTTGGTGATGTGATGTTGGGAATTCTCAGAGGTGACAAAGTAGCAGTGAAAATGTTGAAGGATTCAAGTGAAGCTGCACAGAAGTTTCTTGCTGAAGCTTCTCTGATGACGTAAGTTTATTAAACAGTTACTAAACAGCTTTCAAAAAGTCAAAGCTGAAGCTATTCTCTTTGTTTTGTGCAAACCCGTTAGCGTTTTAGGAACCCATGTTGTGCAAAACTTGTGACAGACTAGCCTAACTCTGATAATCCTGTGGAGAGTAGTGGATGAAACAACGTATAATTTCCGATGGATTTCTGCAGCAATCATATTTTTAGATGAAAGAAGTGGACAACACCACAAACTTCACAGTTGTTGGGATTATCAGTCACAGGACACATCATAACCCATTCTGTAGAGACAAGAACAAACACTAGGTGACCAGTTATGTAATGGTTTACAAAGCAGGGATTTCTTAATATTGACAATTGAGAAATTATGATGTTTGGTTTGTATAACATTCTTGGAATACTACAGGAAAGTAGGTAGGTAAGCTTCAGTTAATTTCACGTTTTTGTTGTTGTTTTTTTACATATGTTACAGTGGATTTCTTCATTTAATTATTATTTAAGCATTAATTATATTTTGTGACCTTTGTGGTTTCTTGGAATGGCCAGGTGGTTAAATGGAGACATTTCATTTGCAAGTGGTATAATAATATTTACTGTTATCAATTTTGTCTTCCTTTAGAACTCTGTGAAATCTTATTGTATGTACTGCTGAAATACAAGCACTCTGTTTGAAAATACCTTATTACAGAGGAAGTGAATGAGGCTGACTCTTTCATATGGACCCAAATGAATAGGATTTGTTCCTTTTTTACACCTGATGATGGCAGCAGATCCAACTTCTGAGATGTTATGTAATTCATATGTAGTAGAATAGAGCTGACAATTTGTAATGCAATAATTCTGTAATGAAAAACATTGTCACAAACCTTTAGAGGATCACAAAAGAGGCTTGAGGCTGTATTTATTTTGTATTTAAATAATAACTTAAATGCTTTAGTGCCTAATGAATTAAAAAGGATGTGGAAGGAAACATTTGTGGCCTAATTTAAGGTATTTGCCTGGATAGACTGAGAAAAGGCATGAAAACTTGTCAGGATAGTTAGTGTCTTGTCTGAGATTCATACCAGGCACTTCCAAGTACATGCCAGAAGCATTACTGCTATGTTGTTATAATATTTCTGGTCTTGAATCTGAGGTGTAATTCTTGCAGTCAGTGCTGGTACTGAAAGAAGAGGTTAGTAACAATAATTGCTACAGTGTATAATACAGTATGTTTGTATTTTTCAGATCACTGAGGCATGAGAACCTGGTGCAACTACTGGGCTTAGTGTTTAATAATAAGAACAAACACATTTATCTGGTGACGGAGTATATGAGTAAAGGCAGCCTAGTTGACTACCTGAGATCAAGAGGACGACTTCATGTCACCAAAAAGGATCAGATTAACTTTGCATTGTAAGAACCAGTATTTGTATTGGTAATGGTGAAACAGTGATATTGTTTTTACTGATTTAAGGAAGTGCTCTATGAGATCTGGAAGTATGATACCAGTACATAATGGTTTTATGATAATGAATGTAGTTTTTCCTTTAAGAGCCTAGCGACACCATATGGAGACCTTTAAAGTGCAGCCGAGTGGCCGTGCGACACCGTATGGGTACGCGCAGTCCACGCGTGCGCATAGTATTTTAAAATCTAATTTTAAGATAGAAATTCTGGTTCTACTTACATTATTTTTGGGCACCAACTTTATAAGTAGACAGTCTTCCCTCTTGTGTCATCTAACTGAATGTTGCTTTTGTGTGGTACTGTTGGAAACATCCGGAAATGCAGAGTCTGACGTTGCAATTCATGCACTTTGTCTGGATGTAACTGTTTCCCACGCGAAGAGCACACATGACACCTCAGTCTCGTATTAGAGGAAGTCGGCCAGTGATGTCGAGTGGCCTCCTCTAATCGAGATATCGCCGATGACACAGCAGGAGGTCGACCCATGAACCGTTGAGGGCAAGGTGGACCCCTTGCAGCATGTTCCAGTATGTTGCGCACAAGGGCGAGACAAAATTCTCTGTGTGACAATTTCGCGCCACAGGATGACAACAGGATGAAACTGTTCAGAATCGTCAGATCTAGGAGATGGAAAAATAGTTTATTTGTCCATTTCCAGGTGCAACGACTGATGCTATAACTGTTTGCCATTCTGTCCGCTTTGTCGACATAACCCATGTGCGTGTTGTAGTCAGCAACAATTGCTGGCTTGATGGCATTTCCATGCTCATCACAGAAACTGCCTTCTGCTGGAGGACAGTGCATGTTTGTTAGTATGTAAACGTTACGTTTGTCCTTCCAAACTAGTGCTGTCAAGTTCCGTCTCACCCTAACACGAATGTCACCTTTCTTTAGTCAAAATTTTCTTCATCGAAAATCGTCAGGCAAGCCCTTCCGATTAGGTCTGACTGTCCCACAGCACATTATGTCCTTTGTCATCAGTTTGTCAAACAAGTCTGGTGATGAAAAGAAATTGTCCATGTACAGTTTGTGACCTACGCCCTCAGTACGTCTGCATAGGTCCCTAACTGTAGCATGTGTCGCTGTCATGTCTTGGTCGGCACGTGTCCAGTCTTTTCCTAGGTAAACCATTGTGCCATAAGTATACCTATCGGTGTCACAAATTTTGAAGATTTTGATTCCGACATGTTTGTGTTTCTTAGGAATGTACTGCCTAAAATCCACCCTCCCTTTGAATTTAACAATTATCTCGTCTATGGCCAAATGTTTGGAAGCATTATAATATTTTTCATATGCATCATTGAGAGTGTTAAAGATGGTCCGAATTTTCCATAGTCGG